CCTAATGACGACCATGACTATGGTTAGGTTTAACATTTGAGTTGTAATCAATAATTCTTATTCTTGGTATACGCGATTGCAATTTGATTATTTTACGATACCAAAAAAGTAATATCTATAATCACAACACGATTTGATCGATACGACACGAAATATGACGTAGCACTGTAGCAGTGAATCCGGCTTAAAGTATAAAAAATAATATCGTGTTGATAAAATATTTATAGCTATTGTAAATTGTAATAGGTAGATTGTATATCTCTGAGTTAAGAAATATATTGACATACCTATAATATGCGTTCGCGTGGCCGAAAAATAAAAATCAGAGGTATGACTATATATATACCTATATTATATTATACTATGTATAGGCAGACTGGATGTGTGACTATAATAGTGGCTATACGAATTATATGAGCTATAGTATTTATACTGCACTGTCAGTATCTATAGAGATATTAGGTTTCATGAAGAACGATTTTAATTGTTGAATTCTTTAAATAAAATCATCACTTAAGCTTTTTCTGCAGAAATAAAAGTCAACTGATAACAATTTGAAAAAAAGACCTTTGTCTATATAAATGTTACAAGCATACTATAATAATTAGTACATTCTGTTTCTGTACGGCTATATAAATAATAAATATGAATAGGTTCTATAAATATATAACCTATAATATATCTAATATTAAATATACATAATAGAGATCGCATTAAGGCAAATAAATTACTGCTTCATAGGCGGTAGGTATGTATATATAATAACATCAAAAAATATAATATAGTATCAATCTACAATCACATATTCATATCACATTATCAGCACAAAACTATGTGCCCATATAGAATTAATATTAATTATATATCTGATAGTAATCCTTAATATTTACAGTTTAGTACATAAATATTTATAAATATATAACGTAACGTATATATATATTATTCCTTATATTTATACCTATAAAACTGTAAACTATATACGTACCCATATAAGAATACTTGTGAAATTAAATTTTTAAATGTACCTATAATGAAGTGATTGGGTTAGTTCTAAAAAAATGTTTATTATGGTTACTGTTTTTAAAAAGTAGGAATAATTGATATAGATAGATCATAGATATAAAATTAATAATATTTAAAATTTAGTGTTTTTTCAAACACGCCGTAAATGCGAAACATACATACGTGTTTTCACCGTAATTTGTCACACTTCAGCAAATCTTCTACCTATTCATTTTTAAATAGAATAAATATTAATTTTTATTTTATTCATTTCATAGACCACCAAGAAACGTGTAAAGGTCATCTACTAACCAGTAAAAAAAAATCTATTACGCTACATTAATTTTGTGGTACAACACGACCCATTTAAGATACACCAACTGTCACAATATAATTTTACTATTATCTAAGATTTTTATTTTTTATATTATATACGAATATACGAAAAACGTAATATATTTCAATTTTGTTTATAAGTTAATGTCAAATCATGTTGAAGCCAAATATTAAATATACATAAGTATATTATGTATTAATGTATTATATACCAATAGCCAATAGGTATAGCTAGGTCTACCACAAATATGGTATGTATATTTACCTATTACAATAATTATGAACACAATTATCGATAGATCTATGTACAAAAGAACTAAAACTAAGTTGTGAGGGTGAAAATAACTGTCAGTTAGCGATTGGTATACTTATACCTTCAAATCACGTTCAATAATTTTCAATGGGCTAAACGTGTCACGCAAGAGCGCATTTTCGAAATTTGACTTCCATTCCGTGCACAATGCACACACGATATAACATAGAATATAACGAACTAATTTAATTTATATAGGTGCACATTATTATATAATACTGTATTATGTCGGTMACGAATAAATTATTCAACGACAAATCTTTCAAACTGGGTGACTATCTCACAGTGTAAAAAAACCCAAATGTGACCATGTGCTATAGGTACGTGTACAAGAGATAATATTTTCAGAAATATTCCTACGGATGGATATACAMCGTGGCAGAGATACCGTTCTCGTTAAATAGCGAGTACCCTGTATACATTTATATATAACTATAAAGTGGGGGACATGTGTATAAAGGGGGTCTCTACCCAAATCAATATTCAGGACGATACTCGCTTGCGGACCTCCGCCACCGCCACCGAAGTCGGTGTTTGGCAAATGGCCGGCTCGACATTCCGTCACAGTCCTATCTGTTCCTGCAGTACACTAAAATATAATGGAATATTTATATTATTATTATTTATGGGGCCTGATCGACGTGATCTACCGATGAACAATCGTTCGTCACGTGGAATTTATAATGAGCAGTTTGACATTAAAAAAAATGAGTTTATATTATATGAGTAAATTTTTGTGATCATAAATAGATATTTATATAGCACATGCGTATAATGCGCTGAAGTCGACTTCTCGTTCCTAAATTATTATAGTAGTCGACGGGAATTATATAATACATATTATACATTTGTATGATATCAGCAGTATAATATATAATAATATTATACAGAGTGTCCCACAGAGATTTGACATTCTGGCAAATGAAATAACTTTTTGTTCTAATCAATATTTTTTTAAAATTTCCATTAAATATAATCCATGGACACTTGCGCTACATTTTTAGAATACATTTTTTTTTTTTTTTTTTAATATTGAAAATAAAAAACTTAAAAATTGATAAATTTTTTTTCGAGATATTCAATATAGCCAATTTGTAAATTTGATTTTCAGAAAAATGTATATGGTAAAAACAC